TGTGTGTGTGCTCTAGCAATGGCTTCAAATTAAATATACATATAAATATACTTATATAATATAAGTGTATTGTGTGTCTTTTGGTATTCAGACAGGATTATGTCTTGTGTGCTCATGATTGGCAGCTCCTGGTACCGTGGGTGCTCTGCAACCTGAATCACGAAGAACTCGTCGAAGAGGAAGAGCTTCGCCGCTTCTTTTTGTATTTCTTCTTCATCGCCACCTTGTGGCTCTTCTTGTCTTTTGCCTTTTTCTTGGCGTCCCTGGCCTTCAACTTCTTCTTCGACGAGGCCTTCCCGGCCTTCTCCTTTTCCTTCTGCTTCCCGTTCTTCTTCCCGGGGATCTTTTGCGGCTTGGGCGGTTGAGCCGCGGCCTCATCTTCTTTGTCCTTGTTTTCCGGCCTGGGCGGTTGAGCCTCGGCCTCATCTTCTTTGTCCTTGTTTTCCGGCTTGGGCGGTTGGTCCGCGGCCTCATCTTCGTTGTCGTTGTTTTCCATGTTCGCTGCCACGCCATTGTCCTGCGGGCTCTCGTTGTTCTCATGGGCGGGGGATGTGGGGGTCGCCTTGCCAGCCTCGTCGCCCTCAACCTCCTTTGCTTCCCGCTTTGCTTCCCCCTTTGCTCCCTCAGACTCACTTGGTTCATGAAAGCTTTAGCAGGGGACATGCTTACTACCCACACCCTGGGGGTGTGTTGATAGACCCCTGATACACAGTTGTTAGCCTGTTGATAAGGCCCTGTTAAGGAAGTCCTAAAATAACACAAAGATAAGAAATAGACTATGAATAGTCTATTCTATGACTATTGAGGACTTATTTTTGAAGGACAAAAACAACATAGAAACAAGCGTTTTTGTATAACACTGCACTTCAGTGTTTTCAGAACGCAGCTTTTGACTTGATTGGCGTTGTCGTTTACGCTCCGTTCCGTCCTTGTCAGGATGAAACTCAAGAGGTGGTGAGTGTTTACTTACATATAATCAGTGGATATGATTTGTTTTAGACAGGTTCTGTCTGATAGGTTCAACAGACAGGCGCAGACAGAAACAACATCCCATCATGTGACAAGTGAAGTGCTGCAGCGGGAAGAGCACTAGTCTGAGATTTTTTTGGTTCACGCGCCCATGTGTGACGACTTGGTGGGCGATGGCGACGCTGATGACAATGGTGGGGAGGAGAACTTTGCCTTTGCAAGTAGATGTGCTACCCTGAGCTTCAATTTTAATAGGATAAATAAAGATCCATTGGTTCATATTGAAATAGACTGTATATGTGACTGTGTATGGGTTTTCTTCACCTACAAGTATTGAAGCGTGGACGTTATTGACATGTGTTACATGTTCATTTCTCAATCATTCTCAGGTCTGCTAGCCTTATCGGGGCACGACGTTGTGGTATACTACTCTGCGACAGAGCAATGCGAATGGACCATTCGGACAGAACTTAGTTTGCAGGAGGCAATTGTTCGTTTCATTGATTGAGGTCCACTGTATTTAATTTCTTAACTGGGAGAACCATTCCACTAACGTTGCAACGGTAGGGGCTTAGCAACAGTGTGATTTGAGGTGCTCTTGCCTTTCCTTGAAACAAAGTCTGCAGAGCAAGCGACGGAATTGTGGAAGAAGGCATCCCCGCACATTTTCGATATGCACCGCCGATTGTGGCCAGGTGTGTTCATCCGCCGGCTGAAGTCAAAGCAGGGGAGGTGTGCTGACGTTGTGGAATCCCAGGACATGTGGTTGAGAGAAAGTACTATGAATACGTCTTTGCTCATGGCCACCGTTTGCCACCTGATCAACTTCAAATTTCGGAGTCCCAAATCTAGAGGAAAGGCTTGCGAAGGTTTTTCAAAGCTTTTGACGCTCTTGTCAGTCAGCTTGGATGGGTTTACGCTGGAGCATGACCTTTTCACCAACGACGGTGAGCACGCTCAGGCTTCTGGTTTTTTGACTGTCGATGCGTCTGGCGCTGTGTATGGCTTAGAGTTTTGGGGACGTGAATTTTGGGAGAGCACAGTGAAGGAACTGTGGGACCAAGACGTTCTCAGTGAGAAAAAACCTTGGATTACTGCACAGTCGGGTATTGACAAGGTTCCATTGTGTGAACTCCTGGCCTTTGCCCTGGACCCACAACATCCTAACAATGTAAGTGGTGTTCTTTGCTCGCGTGTGTTCAACTTGCTTACAGAGATTTGCTATTTGTTGGACCGCTACGTCGATCGATTGAAGTGGGACCACACCTCAGTGGATGTTGCTGCCGCTACCACAAAGAACAAGAAGAGACAAAAAAGAGTTCTTGTTTCTGTCTATGCTGAGCAAGTTGTGAACAAACTTTGGAACGGCACAGCCACTTGAATCAACTTGCAGTAGACGGGGGTAACCTTTGCTGCTGTTTTTGATACCTAGGAGGTCTTGTGATTTCAGTCTTAGAAATGAATCATGTCATGAATGAACACCGGCCCATCCAACGTCTGAGGAAAGGATTATCACTGCAGCGATCCACGCCAACAATCACTTGCCAGGGGTCAAACACATGCGCTCAATCGCCGTTTTCTTGCCAGCGATGGCCAGAGCCACAGCCAGTCATCCGAAACAATGTTTTGTGAAAGGCAGAATGTCAACACAGCATATGAAACCATTGTTCAAACAGTTTTGTTCTCCTGAGTTCATGTACCTCTGCCACGCACGATGTCTTTTGACCCAGTGCTTCACTTTTTGCGTGGGTGCCTCAATGCTGAACCGCTTGGTTGCCTATATTATGCTACGTTTTCCCCACTGATTTTGGCTGCTGAGATCTACCTTGACGCGAGCACCTTGGGCAAGCGGCCCACTGAATTGCTCTGGTTGTTCTCACCAGAGATCAACTGTGGTGCCTGGGCACCCCCTCTGGTCCGGGCCCTGACATTGACAGAACCAGACGGTCTTCCCTGAGAACTGAATGATTTATATATATAATCATTGTGTAAATCATTCAGGTCTCATTAAATTTAAAGTTACTGTTACACAAATCCCTGCATTGTGGCTCAACACACACAGAGTTAGAAAAAATATATCTATGCCATTGTCACCGTGTCACCCAGACCAGGCCCGAACTAACGCAACTCAATTAACGCTCGGTCCACTCACTTTCCAACGACCAACTCGAGTCATTTGTGCAACGGAGCTTCCTGACACTGGTCCTGACGGTGCTGACAGTGACAAGATGTCTGACAAGAGTGACAGCTCAAATGTCACCAGCCAAACACTAAGAAGCCCAACAAACAGTGATGCTCCACCATGTACACAGTCGAGTTCCATTTCTGTGGAGACTTTGACCCGAGAGGACGAGTGATTGGACGACCAAATCATCATGTTGAAAGCATCGTCGTTGACTCGATTCCCAAACACCCTCAACCTGCCTGCGCTGCCTACCAGCGACAGGAGTTGGAACGGTCATCGCCTTTGGCGCGCGCTGCGAAGGGTGTGCAGCTGGCTTGGCGCTGCATCACGATGATGACTTCGAGTGAGGAATTGGAGGTTCACGGGCGTGGGGTTAACGAAGACCGTGCATCACAATACTTCGTGAAATTATAGTTTATTTGGCCGTTCAAATGTTTAAAGCCATGTCAAATGGGACCCAAGATTCAGCCCCCCTGTTAAATCATTCCCTGTCGGTAGGCGTCTATGCTGACATCGGTGGGCTTTACATCTTCTAGCTGCACTGGGTCATTCAGCGGAGAAATGGCGCTAGCTGTGATTGAGCACACGGTGAACCAATCGAACTTTTTGAACCGACAAGTTCACTTTCAACCAATTAGATGCCATGAAACTCAGCTATGAACATATTTATATATGCCGCCAGTAACTGCTGTTTTTGTTTCTTAGGTTATTGACTAGAAGGTGTCATCATTAATTAATATTCAATAAATCCAAAAATAATGTTGGCACCTGCTGAGGAAATAGACGCTCGCTGCCGACAACTTATCACAGACCACATGCTGTGGTACGACACTGCCACTCGCGAGGTGCACCCACATCCTTGCATCCATGGTGATCTTACCGGCATTGTCCCGGAGCGCATGTGGGACCCTACTGCTAGCTTTCTGACACGGGCAAAACAGATTGACAGAGCACCGCTTCATATTGAACAGTGGTGTTTCTACCATGGACGGAAATGTCCAATATTTGGGGCCAATGCCAACATCCCTGATTATGACATTTCCGGATTGCCATGTCCTGACATGAGTCGCGCAGGGAACCGTAAGTATGAGGAGGGGGCAACATCGTCAGTTTTTGCAGCTCACGCCAAAATGCACATTGAGTACGGCACACCTATGCTGGTCATTGAGAACGTTTGGGACAGACTGCCAGACAACAAACAGTGTTTATTTTAATCTATTTCAATTGTTGACAGCAAACACACGGCTAACAAAAATAGAGAAGACACACAGAAATAATTTCAGTATAGATTTAATATTTAATATCAGTCAGTACTAACTGGTATTCACTGGGCTGACACTGTAGCGATTAGAACTTAGGGTTTTCACTGGTTCTAATTTTAGCAAGGTGGATTTATGAATCTCTGCCTGCAGGACTTGTCCATGCCTATGATCAATGCTCTGTACAGCAAGCGCTACAACATTTGTCCGATCTATGCAAAACCCAGTGACCAGGGGCACTCGGGCGTTGCTAGGGACAGAGTGTATTTGATTCTGACTTGGAGAGGGAAAGTGTTGCCCATTGGGGATGTGGAGCGAATGTACCAAAAGGTTTCACACTTCATCCAAAAGTATGTCTCCACGCGGCCAAGAGACTATTGGGTTTCCACGGAGTATGACCAGATTGTGGAAGCTACGAACACAGCTCGGCGCAGACATATCCCTATGAAAAGAGTGTTTTGATTCTGATTAATCTATGCTTGTTCTTGTTTTTTTCATTGAACTGGTATTGGTAGAGCGATTTGCAGCACTGTTCATGGGTTCATTTTTTGCTATTTATTGGGGCAAAGCGGCCTGGACCATATTCTATGGCATTTTTGCTGAATGATCGGGAGAGAGATTGTGTAGAGTATGCAGCAGAGCGTTACCAGCAGCGCTTTGGCACAAGGGCTCGCGATGACCCAGACTTGTTCCTGTACTTGGGTGACAATGCCCGCAACCGCTTAACGTGGAGCGGGGTGAGCGGGAAAGTCCCGACCTTCCGTACAAATGGAGGCCGGATGTATTCGTTGCACAGGGAAGCTTGGTTAACGCCTAAGGACAGACTCGCAGTGTTGGGGTTCCCAGTGACCCCAGAATCTGCTGGGGCCATGGGAGTCCCAATACTCCCAGTTGCTGACAACCTCAGAGCAGCCTCAGTCGCCGGCAACTCTTTTCACTTCATGACAGCCGCTATCGTCCAATTAGTGGCGCTGTGCTGCTTCAAGTTGGTGGGGCCAGAGCTGGAGTCATGACTGTGGGTGACTGAATATGACAATTGATTATACTGATGGACCTAACCCATCATACATTTGGCAAGGTCTCACTACTCTACTACATTGTTAAATTGGTTTCCTTTCAGATTGAATTGAATCGAATCTAAACAGAAGCTGTTTTTTTGTAATATAATTGAAGAAAGTCACCCACATCTTTTGTTGAATGAATGATGATAGCAGCAAACAGCCGCTGGTGTAGATGCGTCTGGCCCCCGACTGAGAAAACAGTCTTACCAGACTCCAATGTTTTTTTTGTTTGTACTTGTAACTTCAATGAATTCAAAGATTCAAACAATTCGTTCAGTCAGACCAAGGGTGCATGCGACAGCCACGATTCAAATTGTCCAACCTTTGTCCAACCCACAGCCGCAGCTTCAGCTACCCAAACATTGCGCTAGGCCTTAGCCATCGTTCACTGGTTTGTACTGTGTTGGGGTTGTGATGCCGAGGGAAGTTAAGGCAGTGAAACCAGAAGAGACTCGAGATCGCTCAAGGGGCAGATCAAGGACAAGGGGCGGCAAACAGCAGCGAGGGCCGCCGCCACCACCAACTGTTCGCCCGAAGAGGACTATGCTTGCTGCTGACAGCAGTGCTTCTGACTCAAGTGACAGTGACGGCGATATGTTACCAGACTATTGAGTTTGAGCAAACTTTTTTCCCATATAACAATTCTGGTGTGTCTGTGTGTTTTTGGTCTTTATTATATATATATACATAGATTCACGCCAACTCAAATTATCCAGATGTCGTTTCTGTCTGACTGACATAAGGTTCATGGGGGAGCGCGTTCGCAAGGTTCATGGTCACCCTGGTCGTGGAGGAGAAGAGGCATCAACAAAGCCGAGGGCCAAAGGCAAGACCAAGGCAGCCGGTCCATCGGGTGGTCGACGTAAGCGCGAGGATGAAGAGTCACGATCAAGGCGAATCATGACTGAGACCTACAAGTCCCAGAGCTGTGTCAAGGATTTCATTGTTACTCGAATCAAATAAATATTGAGGGTTCACCTTGAAATTTATATTTTTTGTTTCCACAAATGTAGTAAAAGCTTGGTGGATAGATAGATCAGCCTGACAGAGTGAAGTGATTCTGAAAATTTGTGCATCGACAGATGCGGCTAAGGATTGTCATTTGATAGATTGGCTGTCAGACGGCTGCGACAAAGTCTATTTGCCAAGAGATATCTTCAGTGGTGAAAGCAGGGCCAAGATCTTGAGTGCAGTCGCTTTCTGCACGGGCTGGTTGCCGACTGATCCAAAGGTTTCGTGCCCGGATTGCATTGAATATCATTGAATGGTAAAGTAGTTTGTTACATTGTTCAGCCTGGGGAATGGATTATTTTGAATTGAAGTGCGCATAGGTTGAGCAAACGTAAAATAAATAGTTCAATAAATATTTCAGACGAGTTATAATAGTTTGTCAATTTCAATCTTTGCTGCGCTGTGCTGCCAAGGGATGGCAAAGCCGCAGTCCTTGAAGCTGCCCACTCTGCATATTGTCGCCGGAACAAGCCTGTGGAGACCACAGGGTGGACACCAGGAGACATTCATAAATTTATGACCTGGCAACTGGACCAGTACCAGAGAGGCCGAGTTCGAAAAAGTGAAGTTGGAGGGTTTGCATGGAAACTCCCAAAACGTGGAGAAGGTGGCGAACCTGCACCCCTTCCAGCTGCTGTGGTGGATTTCCTCAAGTCAAAGAAGAAGGGAAGAGCAGAGGAGTCTGAGCAGGAAGACGAAGAAGAAGACGATTCGCCTTTCTCATTGGAGAAAGATGGAGTGAACTTTTTCCTGGTTGAGAATGATACGAACCGGAGAGTGGCACTTCCAGCTTTGAAGAAGAAAGGGGTTGCGTATTCACTTTATTCAGCTGATGGTGAGTGGGCAGTTGCAGGAGGAAACCCAGGCGATGATGATCCGGAGTATTGCAGCGACATTTTTGAAAAGGCCTTTCCCAAGGACAAGACGTTGATGAAGAGGAAGAAGGTGGATACTGAGCCAGAGAAGCCAGAGAAGCCAGGGAAGCAGGCCAAGGTGGCACCCAGCAATGCAGGGAAGGACAAAGTGAAAGGCGGAGGCAGTGATGCTGCTGCAAGCGGCAAGGCAAAGACTGCCAGTCACCAGCAGCAGTCGTCGTTTGCTACCAAGCCTTTGTTGATGGCGGGCATGAAGATGATCCAAGGCCATCAGCATTGTCATTGGTCGGTTCCAGTCCAAAGGTTTAATTGCAAAATGAACATATATTAATTAACTTCTTCCAGGATTGGTTTATCCTTTAAAGTTTAAAATGAATCATTCTTGACAAACATTTTCTATTGCGTCAGGCCTGGTGCCAAAAGGGACGCGGATCGAGCGAGGAACGGTCAGCGCACCTTCCACCGCGGCACCTTCGTCTAGCGTTGTTGCAGAGAAGCCTGATGAGGCGCCCGAGTCCGAGGACGAGATTGGATCTTTGTTTTCTGGGACCCCCTCTGAGCCTGAGCAGAAAGAGGAGGGTGCGCCTCGATTGGAGGTGTTGGCTGATGCCAGTACTGTGTTGCGATCACCGCAAGATGGGAAAGAGCTTATCCTGCCTGAGGACAAGGACTTCCAGATCGTGAAGGATGACAATGGAACGTGGATCCTGGAATGCACTTCGCACCCAGAGGTGAAGCGTCGTACAGTGAGCAAGGCGTTGGAGAGCAAGCGGGCTACGCTATGGCAAGAGCCTCCTCTTGAAGATGAAGAGAACGAGGACCAGAAGGAGGGGGGAGGCAAAGACGCAGCAGGTGCAGTGGCAGCCTACGTGCCCCAAACCCGGAAAAGACAGAAGCAAGCTGAAACGCCTGAGCGTGAGAGAAAGGTGCTTCTCGCAAAGGAGAAGGCTCTGCCAAAGCGAAAGGCAGATGCGGCAGTCCTGGCAGCAGCAAAGGCAAGAGAACAGAAACTGCTTGACTCCATGATTTCTGACGAGGTAGAGGTTGAAGAGCCGGGTGAGAGCCGCGAAGACGAAGAGGAAGAAGTTCCTAAGGCTGCTGATGCTGAGGATGGGGAGGAAGAGGAGGAGCAGCACCAGCATGAGGAGACTGATACGCACAACAACAATGTGGCAGAAGCTGGGGAATAGCCAAGGTCAATGACTGAGTGAGGCGTGGTTGACCTATTACTTTTGGCAATTGGTTTTGGTTTTGTTGTTCACTCCTTGACAACTTGATTAGTCCTGAACGTTTTGCATCATCACTTTTTTATTTTTGCTCCAGAACTGTGTACAGTTAGGTGTGATTCTAGGAGGATTTCCTTTCAGCAGCTAATTCTGCTTATTTGGGGCTTATTTGGGGCTTATTTGGGGCTTATTAAGGGCTTATTAAGGGCTTATCTATTTGGAGTGTATTTCATATCTATTTAGTAATTCCTGGATTTCAGAATGCAATGTTTGTTTTTTTCTGACCACTATCGACAGTTCAAACAAACATGACTTAACATATGCCGCCAAAAAGGAAAAACTACCCAGTACGACGATGGTAAATTAGGTAGGGAGTGGTAAGTACGTAGTCTGCGCTGCCTACCTTCACTCTCTCACACTTCTCCAAACCTGGACCGTGCATCATGTGTTTTAAAGTTAAGACCATCATCAACGTTTTGTGTCACAGACAGACTGGGCACGCCACCTAACCTGCAAACACACTAAACAGAACAGGTCAGAATGCCCAGACAGTGGTTGCCATACACACTCGATGGACATAGCATATGTTACAATATTTAAATGTTTACAACACCACATTCAATTCAACTATTACAACTCGACTCGTCGACTCACCCCACAGTTTTGACGTGTTACAACAATGTCCTGCCTTGTCATAAGTATCAAAAAAACGTCAGATCCACATCCACCAGTTGATTGATTATTTCTCAGTAGGCTATATTATATAATATAAGTTAAGTAACTCCTCGAGTGTTTTGAATTTAAAATTGCACTATTAATATTGCTGGGCGTTTGTCCCAGCTCCCCCCTCAGTCAACCGCGTATTCCACAGCCACTGACTGACTGACAGGCAGCCGGCGGCAGCAAGTTTGACAGATTGCAGCCACGGTGCTAATTTGATCTGATTGGCCGGCACTTGGCTGCCTGACGGGACGTGTGTGAACTTACTCATCGATCAGAAGAACGTTCAGTGACAACACTGCTAGTCATGCCAGCCCTGGTGTTTCAATAACTGTTTATTAACTGGGAACGTCCTTTTTTTTCAGGCTTTATTGATGTCCCTGCTGAGCCAAACCTGGAATCCTTAGACTCGATTCAGCCCAGTCTGAGCAAGGCTAGCTTGGTCCATGTCAGACAAAACTGTTGGATACAATTTAAGACCATTGGCTAGTATTCAGTAGGCATATTGATTGATTGTTGGTTGGTGTGCTGGAACGCTTTGCTTCGCCCGCCTGATTGTCTGATTATCACACCTGTGATGATAGAGCTAGGCGTCAGACCTGTGGTCACCTGAGACGGCCCGCTGTGGTTAAAAAGCAAATCACCTTTAGAGCAAGAACACATTTTTTTGGCAGCTTCGATATTGTAACTAGTTAGTCTTGCTTTTGGCGTGTTTGAGTTGTGGGAGCCATCAATCCGTGATTGTCCCAAAACTGTTTGCTGCTCGCGGAGGTTCGTTTTGAACTGAATCCAGCTTGCTTACGTGTCTCCTGCTCCGGCCCTTAATTGCTCATGGTCCTCACAAAGTTTGTCAAGGTTACCAAGACAGTGGTGACGCTTGCCCCAACATGTCAGGACGACCGTGCTGAGCCTCATGATGCCGGACGTGACACGCATGGGGGGCCTTCTTCTTCTTCACTCCCAAGTTTGCGTCAAACCAAGTTCATGAAGACCAAGAAAACCATTTTGAAGTTGACTCGGGTGCCAGACACCGCGGCCGCGGTGACCACTGAAACCAAGTCCGCTGCCGCAGTTCTGCCCAACCGCAGTTCTGCTTCTCGTGTGGACAAGTTCATTGTGAACCCAAAGCCAAAGACCCAGGCTCAGAAGAAGAAGCGCTGGGACGGGGTCTGTGGATTTATGGATGGTTACATTTCATCACCATCACCACCGTCAGACGAATCTGATTCTGAGTCGTCTTCGGACTCAGACCCAGACAGTGGCAATGGCAATGGACCATGTGACCCTACCCAGGCCGAGACCGAATACTATAGCCCCACCCGGAGCCCAGTGAATCTCACTGACAAGTCGCATCCAACGTGTGATGAAGACATCACGCCTTGGCAGCCAAGCCCCGATTACACGACCGTGGCAAGTGATCATAGCCCAACCATCCCCATGCCGAGGGATTCAATCGTGGGACCATCCATGCCTACTGTGCCTGAGGAGGGTTCAACTCGTCATGACGACACTCCTGGTCCTGAGGCTGGCATGCCCGTCGTCAACCCAGATCCTGTGCCAACGCCGAGTGGACTCAGGTGGATTCGTTACCCATCCCCTCAACGTTTTGGGCCTGGTTACCCCCCGAAAGAGAGGCGTGCAACTCTTCACCGCTCGCGCCCTTTGAACTTTGAAGACCCTGGATTTGATTTGATTTTGACATATATTTTGCTTTGATTGTTATATTTATTAATATTTGATTGTACAGTAACTAACAGCATGATTCTTCACTCATTCATTTCTGACGTCAGCCCCCGAGGATGATGATGGGCAATGGTCATTCTTATCCAGCCCAACCACGCCACCACCAGCAAACGCCGCGTCGGACTCGGGATCATGCTCACTGCCAGGTCACCGCTCGCCAGCTTCTCGTTGGTCGTAACCATCCTGGGGTGGAAAGCAAGCTCTTTGATTTTGTGAGTAGTTAGGTGCTCCATGGGACATGTTGTCAGACGTTTGAGTTTGTAGCTAGTGCATTTTAAATATCTGTGTGTCTGCATGGATCCTCGTAATCAGAATGCATTGCGGGTTTTGATGCTCTGTCAGAGGATTCCTCTCTTATTATTGGTAGATGAAAGCTGAACTGTACAGCGTGTGTGGAGCCATGACTGAAACAAAGACAGTGTGCCATGATTCAGATTCCGGTCACAGTATGGCTGAATCTTGGCAAGAAGCGAGCGTTGAAGAAAGACAAATGCAGCGCAGCTTCTGTCAGTTCGCAAACTTGAGTCCTGAGTTTGGCGCATTGAATCGAATCAAATGTGTGGATGATTGGCAACGATGTTTAAAGAGTTCGTTTTAGACTCTGACATTAATAGTGGGATTAGGGTTAGGAAAGAAACCAGTGACATTACATATCTTTGCTTGCTAAGTATCATTGATGCATTGAGAGGACACATCATCAACTGAAATGTACCTTTGCCTGTTTTTTTCAGCTGTCCTGACGGGTTCCGTGCATTGAGAATCAGACTGAATTCCCCTCCCGCCCGAGGTCCTCCCACATGTGGTGAAAGAAACGCTTGATGGCGAAGCCGTATTCAGGACAGTGGAGTGGTGCAGTTTGTGTGATAAATGAGACGGATGCATTTTGTGAAGCAATCATAATTCTACAAGCATGACATAATTACCTAATTTTAATGGTCCTACGTCTGCGCAGGCCAAAAATTGGCAAACGCGAATCCAAAAGCTTTTTCGTTTGAGCCTCATGAATCCTCAGATCAGGAAGTAAGATTTACACATTTATTTGCCGTCTGGCATCTTTGTCGCCGAGGTTGTGCTGAAGGCATTACAGCACGTCCTGATGTTGCTGGCAGGCCGGTCCCTGGAATGGTTCATACCGGAGTGGGCTAGAAAAAGACGCAGTGACTTCTGGGGCAACAAGGTTGTAAATCTTGAATGTCCATCACTGGATGAGTGTGGCATATTGCGCTTTGTCACTCAGCTGCGCAACAAGTACGTGTTACTTTAGCATACATGTTACATGTAGATTAAATTGACGAACGGTAGGCAGTATCTATTATATATAAAGTTGTTGGCAAAGTGTGTTTTCTTTTGTTGAGTGGCTCTGGCCCTATTTTTAGGTAGCGGACGAAGAGTCTCTCCAGAACCGAGCACTACACTATTTGATATCGTTTTGCGGTTGTCGGGGTGTGGTGACACCAGACATTTGTCACTGGAAGTGGAACAGCTTCAGGCGTGCACTTAAGGCCGTTTCAGTGCTGGATTTCTCTGTGATGAAACTCACCATAGCAAGCAACTACTCCCATGGGACAACTGTTGGGGGTGAGAGAATCGCTCTGAGAAGGGAATACCTACAATCCTATTTGGAGAAACAAGATGAAGAATATTTTCAAGAGTTGGCGGAGGAGATTGCCCTAGACAGAGGTTCTGAACTAGATCCTGACGCTGCGCACATGCTGCTGGAGGACTACTTAAACTCCCCAAGCATTCGCAACAGACACCAATTTGCAACTTGACTTTCATTAATCATTAGCGTGACCCGGTCCTAACCCACCCGCTTCCAACGAACGCCAATCCTGGTCGCATGTGCTTCGCAGTCACTGTGATGACCCCCTGCGTGGCACGGTTGGTCTGAAAACTTGCCTATTTTCTAGAACCTGTTCTGTCAGTGATTTATTAAATATTCACATTACAGCAACCAGTTACTTCAGTAACTCGTCTATTTCATTGTAATTGTAGTGCCATTGGTCCATGGGTTCATGTCTGACTCACGCGGGATCATTTCAGGCAAAGAACAAATCCTGGTTCGGGATCCTGAACGTCTTCAAGTTGTTGCTATATGACTGGACAATCCTCAGAGAAGCAGCTAGAGCAGTCATGATCGAATCCGGTGGCAAGGCACAGACAGAACCAAAGAAACTCTCCTTGACTCGATTCATTGATTCAGACCAAGTTGTTTAAAGTAACAACATGTCAACTAAATTGTTTGTTTGCTGTTGGATTGACCCTGCCTCTCATAATCTGGTAGTTCAACTAGTCCAGTGGGCTGCAAGGTGGATGACGACGACAAGGCGGCGGCAGAACCTGGCGGCGACGCTGACGAGGCTGAGGCTGAGGACGAGGATCCTGCTGCGAATGCGAATCCTTCTAAGCCTACAAAGGAAAGGGAACCCATCAAATGAATCTGGACATCCTTGAGGATGACACAAATAGGTGTCACGGTGTGATTGTTTTACACTTGGCTA